AGAAGAACAGTAGGAAACAGGTTTTAATAAGGGAGATATGGATAAAAATCGGGTTAGTTTAAGGGGGGGGAGTGAAGGGTATACAAGGAACCTAGGGGATAAAGGGAAAGAAGGAACTCAAGAGAGGTAGGACCATAGGAGAATGGAATTATTAGGGGAGAAAGGGGGAAAATGGGGGCACCTTAATTGGGGAAACCATGATGGAGGGGTTACACAATGTTAGAAATAAGTAATGCTTAGCTAGGTTTTGAAAACCAGAGGGAACCATATTAGTCCAACAGCCTACTGACAAATTATACATACCAGATCAAGAAATATATGTCTAGGCAAGGTTTATCTGAGTACAATTGGTATTTACCCAAGATTTATCTACATGGCATACAGTAATTAAAAGTACGAGACTGGTGAAATTAACCTTCTTGGATGTTTAACAGACATACTTTGAGACCTATACTAATTTGGTCAGAGGGACATAAAGGACAGTTATTGCTCCTTGCCCTCCTAGGTTGACTGGTTCCAGGGGACTATGAGCATCTCTCAAAATGTCCTGTAATTGTGGTGGGTCACCTGTCCTCTTGATCAAGGAGGCTATGGAGACTCCATGAGATAGACTTGAACCAGTGTCCAGTCTACAAGGAGGATGGTCAACACAGAGAAAACATTTCTTCCATGCTTCCAAGTGAAGTCAGCCATGGTTGAGCAGGACCTTTGACTTATCTTCACATAGGCAGAACTGGTAAAAGAAAGGAGCCAGGGGCTCCTCCCAAGCCCATGTGACCCCTGAGCAACATATCCTCAAACGACCTTAAGAGTGAAAATAAAGTGGTTTATAGGGGCCAACTCTATGGCCTTAAACACCCAAAAGGAAAGTATAACCAAAGATTAAAAGGGCCAATATAATTTTTAAGAGTCCATATGCATAGCTATAGGCTACATAACAAGCAACAATGCCAGATAGGAGATACCTTCTTTTGAGTTGTTGGCCAGGGTGGCCAAAGGGACTCCCAGATAGTAACCCAGCATAGAACTGGGAAAATGAACAGCAGACCCCAATCTTATCTAAAGGAATATTGACAACTGATTGCTGCTAGATGAGGAACAGCTGACCTTCCTAAAACAAAGACCTCCAGATTGGATGACCAGATTCACCAGATGGACAAGTAGTGGGGAATGGCTGGGGGTGCCGACAACACAGCAGACAGTAGCAGTGATATCAGAGTATAAGGGCTCTAGTCGGGGGAGGGAGGCTATGGGAGGGTGCTACCTGGGAAGTGGGTGTATAGATGAATAAGATGGTTTGGGATATTCTGTGTGATATACACAAAAAAATCAACAAATTTTAAAAAATTATGTTTGAGGAGGAAGCATAAAAATTTACATCATGTTAATTAGTAGAGGTGATAAACTTTACCACTAAAATCTACCCGATGACTATAGATATACACAGGTGCCAAGAATGGAAGTGCAACCGATTATGACTAATAATAATCAGATACATACAGATTAGAGATGCATGTGCCAACATTTCAGTGTCATTAGCAAAAACAATCAGTGTTCTGGAAGGAACAATATATTCTAAAATGAAATGGAGATCTTTTTTAAAGGTTAAAAACTCATTCAATTTTGTCTTACAGGGCTTATACTGAGTTCAGTATTGTATAACTGTATTAATTCAACTGTGAACCTAGAAACTTGCAGCCACTTGTGAAAGAGATATACTCTCGCTCTGGAGTGTGTTACTAACAATATATAACTGTGTAAAGGAGAGTACTGTGAAGGCCAAGAGAATGACTGCAAATTGTTCACACATCGGGTGTGTTGAGGAACACAAACTTTTGGAAAGCTACACAAGCTTTCCTGTCAAGGTAGGAGAGGATTAGAAGACAGGCCCCTGGTACATGAGGTCCAATATTGTCAGGTTCCGTTGTAAAAGTTTGGGCAATTACTCAATCAACTTGTATTGCATTTCCCTATCTAATAAAAGTGGCTACCTGTGGATAAAATGATTATGGGGAAGTAAGATCTTAGAGGCACATGAGCATAGACAAATTGGTATAGATAATAATTATCATGACTATTTCTGGTCACATTTTAAAATCTAAACACAAATCAATTTTGCTCTAATGGGAAAAAGGAGCCACTGGATACCTGACAGAGATACATTTAAAGGGCTTACTTGATGAGTGTGGTTCATTGTTCTCAGAATGATTCATGTTGTGTTACTGCCAACAACAAGAGCGCATTCACAGTCTCTCAGACCGTCACAAAAGAGGAAATGAGATCTAGAAAGTCCAAAGAACTTGTCCTACAGCACAGTTTCCTAAAGCATCCTATAATTCAGGCTGGAGATGTGGTTCAGTTGGTAAAGTGCTTATTTAGCATGTGTAAAGCCCTAGGTTCAGTCCCCAGCACCTCATAAAATCAGGCATCGTGGCACACACCTGTAATCCCAGCACTTTGGAGATAGTGGTAGGAGGATCTGAAGTTCAAAAGCATCCTCAGCTACATAGTAAGTCTGTGGCTAGCTTGGGCTATATAAGAACCTGTCTCAGGGCTAGAGAGATGACTCAGTGGTTAAGAGCACTGGCTGCTCTTGCAGAGGACCTGGGTTCTATTCCCAGCACCCACATGGCAGCTAACAACAGTCCATAACTCCAGTTGCAGAGGAATCCAACGCCCTCTTCTGACCTCCATGGGTATTGCATGACACAGGTTCACCTACCTACATGCAGGCAATATACACATAAAAAATAAATAAATAAAATATTAAAATAAGAACTTGTCAAAAAACTATTAATTCAGGAATTCATTCAAACCTATAATGGAGATGAATTTCTAGGGCAAAAATGATGGCTCAACTATGGTGATTACAGGCTCAGAAATGTTTGATCCTGAACGAACACATATTTTCAATATGCCATTTTGAAAACATTGAGGCAACAGAAGGGGCAGCTGCCATGGCTTTTGCCACAGAGTCTCTGCAGAGCAACATCATCATCCAAGGTGATCAGACAGACATCTTAAAGCTCTTCTGGAAAGAGCAGAGACTGCAGACTCAGGTAATGGAAGTGGTCTGAGTGCTGTGTGCCTGTGGGTTGTAGGTCAGTATGCCAGTTTTCTGGATACCACGGCTGTTGTGAAGTAAACACAACCAGTGCTATTGTGGAATAGGGGCAGTTATGATCAGTACAAACATGGTTGAATGTTTTTACATTGCAAAATGTCCACCTTTTGCACTGATGATTGTGATACTTGTCCTGTCTGATGGCTCACTCTCTCCCTCCCTCCCTCCCTCCCTCTTCAACATTTGGGTACAAAGTCACCTGTTTTGTTACCCAGGCTGTGATTGCCAGGCCAGCAAATAATAACCCATCCTCAGTAACAGCTCCACATGAATAAATGTGTGAACTGGAGTTTCAATAGACTAGCCTCTGTTACATGAATGTGTTATCGATTACCTGCCTGCCTAGAGTGTCCAGTGCATGGCAATATCAATTACATGAATAAAAATATTTCCTTCCAAGAAAGAGAGAGGAGAGAGAGAGAGAGAGAGAGAGAGAGAGAGAGAGAGAGACCACATTGAAGCTGGATATAGCAGAACACCAGTGCTCCTAAGCCAGATCGATCACAGGCAGAGACATGAGAATCCTTAGAAGCTTATGGGACAGCTAGCCTGGTGTGCATATCAGAAAACAGCAAAGTGTATCTCAAAATAGAGAGAAGACAAGGACCCAAGGTTGTTCTCTGACCTCTACACACATGTTCTGTGTCATGCAAGTACCTGCACACACACACACACACACACACACACACACATCAAATAAAAGAAATTTCTAAATTTTAGAGAACATGAGCAGAAGAGTTTCATTTTAAATCACAATGAGCAATCTTTTACCAAGAATGTCAATGTAAGAAAAAAAAAGACCAAGTTATGATCTGTAGCTTTTTTCACTCTAAATGAAAGCAACTTTATTCCCACAAAAAAGAAAAATGTTAATCTTACCCATCACATTAGAATTGCTTATTAGTGAAGAGTTTGCTGTGTTTTGTCATATCTAAGAAATAACCCAAAAAATAACTTCTTATGTTTTCACAGAACACATTAATGAACATTTAGAGTTTGTAAAAACCAGTCACGGGGGTTGGAGAGATGGTTCAAAAGTTAAGAGCACTGGTTGCTCTTCCAGAGGACCCAGATTCAATTCTTAGCACCCACAGGTGACTAACAACAGTTCATAACTCCAGTTCTGGGGGAAATCCAATGCCTTCTTCTGATCTCCAAGGGCATTGTATGACACAGATATACTTACACACATGCAGGCAATACATTCATATACAAAAAAATAATAAATAAATAAATAATTTTTTTAAAAAAAACAAAACACATTCACAGTTGATAGGTCATTTCATTCTCAGAATGGTACCTCTTCCCTCCATGGTCGCCTAAACCTAGAATCACAAGCTAGCTTGCTTTAGATCCTGCTGCAATTTAGCAGCACAGCTGAGTTCAAGTATGTCAACTTCATTTGCAACAGGGAAAAGGATTTTGTAATTGAAACTTGTACTTTTCACTAACAGTCAAATCCTATCTTTGCAATGGTGGATGTTAGCAGCCTTCTTGTTAAATCAGCCCCTTTGTATATGTAAGGATAGACCAGGAGATGAAAAGAGCTGTATTTCTGGGCAGCAGACAGGCATGCAACAAAGGAGTTTCTTGTGGAGACTGTTCCAGGGAGTAGTGAGATGCTGAGTCCCACCATAAAGCGGGGGCAAGTCCTGGACTAGAACCCGGGTCCTGAAGCTCCTAACAAAAGGTTATCTCCATATACTTATATTTTGCTGTAGAGGAGGAGACAACCAAGTTTGAAAGCAATTTTAATTACGTTTATCTGAGTTGCATAGATGGATTTATCTGGTGCTATAGTGTTTCACTAACTAACAAGTTTCACACTGATTTTTGCCAGCAGAGCAGACCCAGAATCCACATGACTAACACTCACCCATTGTAGGAATCAACCACAACTTTTTGAGGTGCAATAATGGAGAGTGGAGTAATTTCCTCAAAATCTGAGCATTTCTCTAAGTCACAGACATATACCTAGAAAATCAAAAAATATATCAGTAGGATTAATTAATGCCTGTAGTACACATTCAATTTGGCCACCAAGTATTTCCTGAGAATTTGTTCTATGCTTGGGATTGCTATCATCACTATGCCCTTTACAGAACAATCAAAAGAAGTCTTTAAAACGTCATTTAATTGGTGCACACCTGTAATCCCAGGCTTTGGCTAGAGTGGTAGCATTTGTTCATTCTAACAAACTTGTAGTTTTTAAGGTAAAAAAAAAAACTTGAAACACATGAATCTTTTAAACTATCTTCTAAAAGATTTCAGAACTACTGCATTTTCAGAGACTGGCTGATGTAGTCCTGGGTTACCATATAAAGATGCTTGCAACTGACTTTGCTCATGATGGAAAGTCTTACCCATTGATAACATGAATACCAACATTATCATAGCAGATGAGTTATTATTAGTAAAAATTTATGACCCTAGAAAACCACAAATAAAGATGACTTAATAGTAGGTCAGAACTAGCTAGCACTAAGCAAAGGCTAGGCCCTCTTGTAGACTAGGTCTATGATTTATCTGTTAATTTCATATCTAATGTCTATATCAATAACCAATTATTCTCTTTAAATTCTCAGACTAACCAGTTTATCCATGATGAAATACATTCTCTGGTAAAGCCAATCTATGGAGATGGAAGAGATTAATCCTGAACCTCGGTAAAAAATTCTCAGGTCAGATACATCAGACATGTTGGCTATCTCCTTCCTCCATATGAGAGTTCCTTCTGAGAAATAAACCACTTGCTGATGGACATTAACTGATATTCCTAGAAGAGTCATACAAGTGCACACACATCATTGAATGTCAACAGGCACACAAAAACGTATTAAGGCAATTTTTCTATAATGTTTAGTAAAGAAAGTAAATTAGGGGCTGGAGAGATGGCTCAGCAGTTATGGGCCTTGGTTGCTCTTTCAATTCCCAGCACCCACAGGAAAGCTAACAACCATCCATACCTCCAGTTCTGGGGGGATGACTGCACAGGTACTGCACAACACAGGTGCACTTACACACATGCAGGCAATACACTCATACACATAAACTAAAAATAACAAAAAGAAAATAAAAAAAGAAAGTAAAATAGAAGTTCTTGTATCTTAGAAGAAAATATTTTTCTAGATTCTTTTAATATATACAAATTATATAGAAAAAACCTGTGCAAGTATGTCAGCTATTTACATAATTTACATAAAATAGAAGAATTTAGAATAGTATCTTCTAGAAATATTTTTAAAATAGCATATTCTGGAAATATTAGGGGAAAATGGAGGGAGTGTTTCTGTTTTCTGTGGGGTTGGTTTATTTTGTGCTGAAGACTGGCTCCAATGCCTCATACATGCTTAAGTATATGACACTATCACTGAGCTCCATCCCCACACCCAAAAGCATTTTTTAGTATATTTTTCATTTAAAATTTTTTATTGTTTACAAATTTCTTATGCACATTAAAAGTGTTTTGATCAAATTCACCCCCATTCCCACTCCTTCAATTTCCCCTCCATCCCTCGGCACCACCATTCCCTCCTAATTTCACGTGTGCTCTCTTTTTTGTTAGGCCCTCTGAGTCCATGTAGTGGGCCAGTATATGTAAAAGAGTCATCTACTGGAATGCGAGTAGTCTCTCAGTCCTGAAGAAAATGGACTCTCCCTCTCCCAGCAGCTATCAGTTGCCAATAGATCCTCAGGTAGAGGTCTTAGAGGTTGCCAATAGATCTCAGCTAGAGGTTGTGACCCCTCCCCATCGATGCTAGGATTTTATCTGACTTGATCTTGTGCAGGTCTTATGCATGCTGTCACAGCTGCTCTGAGTTCATATATGCAACTTTCCTGTTGTATCTGGAAAACACTATTTCATTGTAGCTATGCACCACCTCTGGTTCTTATACTCTTTCTACCCCCTCACCCCATGATGATCCCTGAGCCTTTGGAGGAGAGATGTGATACAGATGTCTCATTTAGGGCTGAGCACACCACAGTCTCATTCTTTGCATGTTGACCAGTTGTGGGTCTCTATGTTAATCAGCATCTACTGTAAAAAGAACCTCCTCTGAAGAGGGTTGACAGACACTAACCTATACATACAAAGATAAGTTCTAAGGAGGCAGTTCAATACAATGTCTATTTAACAGATTAACAGTAGTATGTTCTCTCCTAAGGTATATGACCTACCTAGCCACAGGGTTTTTTTTTTTTTACCACAATAACATTGATAGGCATGAGTTCTGTCTGTGGAGTGGGTCTTATAATGAAATCAGAAAGTGGGTGGTTACTCCCATAATATTTGTGCCACTATTGTGCCAATGAACATATCTTGCCAGGCCACTCACTATTGTAGCTCACAGGGTTCACAGCTGGGTCAGATGGTTCATTACTTTACTCCCCTGGTAGCTTGCATAGCACCTTCTAACACTACAAAGCTGGCCTGTAGGGATGAAGCTTCCAGATCAGTACCAATTTGATTCCTATGTTTAATGTCTCTGGTATGTGGTATCTTCCCCAACAAGGTCCTACCGTCAAGTTCTAGAGGGTAATCAAAAACAATATTAATAGCCTGTAATGTTTGGGGGTTTCTAGGACCCCACTGACCAACAACTTGAGAAGAGGTAACCCATACCTGGCACTGGGCACCAAGACCATTTTTTCAATATTCCTCTATCCTTCAAGTTTTCCTTCCAGAAATTTTAAATACTTCCTTCTACAGTAAGGTAACATCTCTCTGTTAGACTGACCTGTAATATTATGGTGTATAGCATCTGACCAAAGGCAATGTGCTTCGTCTACCAAGTATTTTAAAGACCTCTTTCTTAGAGAAGTTTTTCTGGATAAAAAGAGCCATTGTTCCTCTTCTTGAACTGAAAAATATAATTTATAGGCAGAAAAACCAACCATGTGTACACCAACACAATTTTTTAATAGTTCAATACATGGGAATTAGTACTTTAAAAAAAGACTGATTAAATTTTCTGGAAGTACTTTAGAGGTATTTTACCTGTGGCATAAACTCCACAATTCCATTATTGGGGATAGAAAATATAATGGTAATCAAGTAGGACTGTGTGTCACTAAGTACTTCCAAAATAACATTACGTGAGTTATTATATCATGTTCAACACCCTTGCTCCAACAGTTCAATTCATTATCCCCAGCATAAGAATATTCTTAGTAGAGGTAGCCCAGCGCCAACCAGGGTTGTTGCGTAACACACACCGTAGACAGATAATGGTGATGTTATCCCTGTGCTGTCTTCAGCTGTTCTCCCTTTCAAGCAGGAGAAAAGTTCTTAGATAAATAAAAGTTGAAAGCTACAGAACTCTGATTAATAGCCTATTCAACTTGGATACCTATGCAAGTCCATGGATGATAGACACTTTTAGGACAATTAATAAATGGTATTCAATAATCACACAGCAACCTTAACTCTATATTTAACTTGCCCTTTGAAAATATTTCTTGAGTGATGATAATACCTCTCCTTTCCTAGAGTCTAGAAACAGTCAAAAAATAAAAATAAAGGCTGATAATAGATGATATCCACCACTTCCTGGCATATGTATGTGCCAGTTAGGCTAAGAAGTAGTCGAGTCAGCAGATGGAGTTCTAGTGGACGTAGAAAACAGACTCATGGAATTCTGAATCCTTGAGTGTTTTTCAAGACTATTTAACTAGTCTCCCCCCTCCCCCCAAAAATCTATTGCTTCTTAGAAAGCATTTTTGATTATGATTTTGCTCAAATAGGTTCCATCCAGAAATCTTCAACCTCTCAAGGCAATTGTTAAGATACAATAGCCTCCCCCTTCAAAAAAAAAGTACTTAGGACAAAAAGATGAGCCAGCCTTGGTGGCATACACTTTTAATCCCAGCACTTGGGAGGCAGAGGCAGGCAGATTTCTTTGAATTTGAGGCCAGCCTCGTCTACATAGTGCGTTCCAGGCCAGCTGGGGCTACAGGGAGACCCTGTCTCAAAAAAAAAGATGAAGGTGAATTTACAGATTGAATTCTCAAAGGTTAAAATATAAATTCTTAAAGTTTGTATATACTTAAAAACATTAAGCGGAGTGGGAAAATGTGTAATTTGACTTAAATGACAATGCATAATGTGAAATGGGGTCAAGACAGAAAGTTTAAATGTAATTCCTTTTTTGTTTTGTCTTTTTGAGACAGGGTCTCCCTGTAGCCCCAGCTGACCTGGCACTCACTATATAGGTTGGCCTTGAACTCACAGAGATCTGCCTGCCTCTGCCTCCTGAGTGCTGGGATTAAAGGCATGCACAACCATGCCCAGCTTAATTCTTAAATTTGTAAAAGTAAGTCACCACCCCTAGTGATTTTCAACTGAACTAAGCATCTGTTTGAGGCCATCATTTTTTAAAATGCTTAAATTTTTTTCATTATGTATTTTTAATCTCAAAATCTTAATATGAAACAAAGAATCACTTAAAATTGAAAAGTTATCAAGTAACCCCAACCCAAAAATATATTCAAAGCTTTAGAGGAAGAATCTTGAAGCCTACCAGATGACCCAAGACTGCTGAACTCTGACCCTTACCCCAGCCACCCCTTCATCCCTGTGCAACAAAAAGGAGGAACCCTAGGCCATACCTGCTGGGGATGGAGTGGTAATTATAGATTCTGCCTCTGGCCCCTCACCAACTTCATTTACGGCTGCAATAGAAAACCTGTTCCAAAAACAATTTGGAGATGTGTTTCACATGGCATGGTGTGAACATGAGATAAATATAGGAGCAACGGCAATTCTATTTAAAGGATGGTGCGGCAATGCATAGATCTAGTTACTCAGCATCACCGTCACTGCTCAGCACTGGGATGACTATCAATCACACCCTTGTTTACCTTCCCCACGGAGCAGTTCAGGGTCACTGAGGTCAAAAGCTGAACTCTGCTATCTGCATGACCCCCATTCCCCTCCTAATTTAAAGAAGTCTCAGTAAATATCAGAGAAGCTGATAAACGATAATAAAATAATCTCCAGTGGTTAATATAAATACCACTAGCAGAATTTTACCTTGAGTTTTTTTTTCACATTGGATTAAATGAAGATCTTATATCTGTGGTGATTTTGTTCTTATTACATCATATTCATTAGGATCCTTCAGTATATTGAAAACATTTTTGCTTAGGACCGTATAATCTAATACACATGTAAACTTGAGAAAAAGTTCGCCTGTTTTACTCCCACAGCATGGAGTCAGTGGCATGTCTCTCGATAAGTTTAAACTGATTTTCGAACAAATTTCTTAAATAACTATTGCACCTGTGTTCTTGCTGGTGCTATTTCCTTTGTACTGCTTAACTCTTACCTGTAGGTGGTGTTTGGTAGAGTGGAGCAAAACTGGAAACTGGTTCTCTGGGTCCCTGAATCTGATTTTTGATTTTTACTGATCAGCCTCAAATTATAACCTAAAATAGGTCCACCTGGGAAATGAGGCGGGGCCCAGCTGACTTCCACAGTGTTGGGACTTGAGCTTTCAATGTTCCTAATGAGCGGAGCCGTTTCTGGGACTGGAAGAGAGAATGGTGGCACAGTGAACTTTAAAAAGTAGATTTTTGTGTTCTTAGAATAGCAAAAGAAAAAAATCATTTTTGAAAGGTTAACAGAAATAAAATCTTTTGATCTGTAGTGAAAATGTGACGAGGGGAGGTGGTTAGAAATTATAACTTGCAGTTCTTGGTCTTTTTACCAGTTAAGGACTAAAGTCTACCAAGACTCTTTCAAACATTATTTTCTTTGTTTCTAATTTATGAAATAAAATTAAATATTAATGACTCAAATAGGATCAATATTCTAGACAAAGCGTTGTCAAAAATCCTCTAGAGACTCACATGAACTGGAAGAGAATCTGAAAAATGAGAGTCAATGATTAACACAAATTGAACACCGCAAGGCTTTTCACTCTTTGTGTTGTGGCCTGACTGGTTCCAGCTGGACATGTGACTGCAGATAAATCGGAATTCGAATGATATGCTTCACTTGTGCTATAATCAGATCTGACAACCCTGATGACACCTTCATGCTGTCACCAAAGTCCCTGGGAACCCAGGCTGACCTCAGCAGTATCCCGCCTTTGCAGTGGATGAAGGAAGCATTAATTAAATGATTAAGCATTCACTGACAGACTGTAGATGCTTCCAACAGAAAAGGCCAATAAATGATTTGCCAGCTCAGGTTCCACCCAGGTCTCCACCTACGTATCTATCATATTTTAGCTCCCAAAACATTCTTGTGCCTACGCCTTAGACAGAAAGGCATGCTTTGACATCACTTTGCTCTTGAGTAGACGCCTCTCCCTCTGAACACTTGGAAGACATTCTGCCCACCACTGTCTGACTAGAGCAAGGAGAAATGAGATAGTTCAACCCTCACACCAATTTACAATTTATCTTTAAAGGGCCTTTTCTTGAGTCTCTTGGCCTTTCTCTGATTCAATCCCTCCCAAATCCTCAGACTCATCTTTGATAAACACAAGCATCTTTGTGCTGCTCCCTGTCTCCATGTACTCAGTCACCTTTGTGAACAGGAAAAAAAAAAAAAAAACACCTTCCACTGAGTTAGAATCAGGATGTAAAAAACCTTAACTCATTAGGGTCAAGCAAGCTAAAAGCCACCTACACAGCAAGATGTGTAATCATTATCCAAACCTCTCTCTCTCTGTCTCTGTCTCTGTCTCTCGCTCGCTTTCACACACACACACACACACACACACACACACACAAAATTCCTCTTTGGAAACTGATACTCTGCCTTACAACTACTCCTCTTGGTTGAGAAATTGTCCTTCAAAACATCCCAGGAAAAAGACATCAACATAAACTAACATTAGATAATTCTCACGGCCAGAAAGAATTGGACTATGAAGCAATAGGCATGAAACATAAGTATCTAAGTGTCAATGTGCCAAGGAAAGTGAGGGAGAATCTGAAACATGAGATGCTATCTGTGGAAAAGGCACCAGCACAGATCTGGAAGATCTGGAAGGGACATGGGCTTCCTTAGCAGCACAAGAGACAAGAAGTGCAAGAATGGCCCTTCTTTGTTTGAATCTGGCCAACCAATGGGTCCTGACCATGGCGTTTCTCCAGGACCAGAAAATGTGTCAGCACATTGGAGTTATAAGGTATTGCTTAGGACAAAGGAGGACTGTGTATTTTTCTCGAGTTTGGACTATTTCAAACATGGTCCTAGGCCAGGATCTGACCTTAAGTTCTGTGCAGGAATGCTCAGAGAATTATCAGCAGAAGTGACCACACGAATTCTAAGACCTAGTAATCAGGAAGAGGATGTTCATTAGGGAAGGAAAAATGCCTCAGTTTCATCAGGTTCCCAACCTAAGGCCAAGCAAGCTCCATATAAAGACACAGCCACATCACCATGACAGGAGCATGCAATCCATGTGGCCTAAAGCAAGTCTTCCCAGGTTGCCTCAGCTATGTCTTGGAATGAGAGCCCCACACAACTCCCCCTGAGTATGTCCTAGCATCTGACTCCCCACAGGGCTTCTAGAATCCTGAGTCCTAGCCCTTGTATAGAAAAGCCATATCTGGGGCTGGAGAGATGGCTCATTGGTTAAGAACACTTGCTGTTCTTCCAGAGGACCAGGGTTTGATTCCCAGCACCCACATGGTGGCTAACAACCATCTCTAACTCCAGTTCCAGAGCATCCAGCATCCTCTTCTCAGCTCTGTGGGCATTGCATGCACATGGTGGACTTACATACATGCAGGCAATATCCTCATACACATAAACTAAAATAAAATTAATAACGAAAGTATTTAAAAAGTCGTATCTTCAAAAGAAGACATCAGGCACTCCTCCCACATATGTGCCTCTTTTTTAATTTATGTGTATGTGTATGAACCTGCATGAGTATATGTGCACGTGTGTGCAGGTGCCTGAGGAGACTGGAAAGGGGTGTTGGATACCCTGAAACTTGAATTACAGGTGGTTATGAGCCATGATGTAGGTGCTAGTAACAGAACCACAGTCCTCAGCAAGAGCAGTAAGTGCTCTTAACCGCTGAGCCATCTCTCCAGTCCCGATATGTGTCATTTTAAAACCCATTTCTGATTAAATGTTAAAGTATTAGAAGAACCTCTCAGTTGGTCTCTACCACTAGACTTTTCCAATCCCTGTTCCCTTGATCTGGTCTGTGTTTCTCTTTTTAAAGATGATGTGAAACAATTACTCCTCTGCTTCAGAGCCTTCTATCATCCCAACAGCTTTCTAGAGTCTAAGTGCCGTAGGCTGACATTCACAATTCTTGTCACTTTGGACCCACCTAGCCTCCCAACGTTAGCCTCCCCGCTTCTTTTCCTGTATTCCGTGCTTCCCGCAGATAGAACACTCACAGTCCCTCTCCTTGCCTTAGAATCCAGTCTCTGACACTGTTCATGTAGGCACTGCCTTCTTCTCTCCTCCCCTCATGTCCATATCAGCAGATGAACTTCCTCCAGAGAAACGCCTTTGGTATTTCATTCCAGAAATAATTATCTCCCTTCTCTGGCCTTCGACAAGAGTAGGTCAGTACCTCTGATTAAAATGTTTCTTTCTAATCAAGTTTAGCCTGTGTGGCCCTGCGAACTGGGCCTCTGGCTACCTGTCATATCTCATTTCCCCTCCTTCCAGCCATATCGGTCATTCCTCCACACACCCGGCCCACTGCTGTACTAATTCTTTGTCTCTGTTCCTTCTTCCTGAAAAACTCATTTCCAAATACTTGCATGGCTTCTTCTATTATTCAAAGGCCCTCTCGGAGAGCCCTTTCCTGAGTAGCCAGCCATCCTGAGGTCTCTTCATCACCCGTGCTACTTTATTTTTTGCAATGTTCCTGTGTCCTGCACAGGTACACTTTTCATGCTATCTCCCCAGGGATGATGAGCAAATATCCCTGCCTCAAACCCCCTTCTCCTCTTCCAAAAAGGTGAGGGCCTGTTCCCTGGCAGCAGCCATTGCACCACAGGGCTTGATTAGGCAGAGGTAACAATTCTGAGATCTTGAAAGAAGCACTGGGATCTCCGGATGCTTCCTTCTCTGACAAACTTAGCGAGAGCCAGCCATGTCTGCTCTGCAAATTCCAGCTTTCCCTTGAATGGGTTGGCTGCTCAGAGTCTAAGCTAAGGAGCAGAGAGTTGATAAATTCACCATACCATTGATCATGCAAGCTACATCACCCAACTTGGTGTTTACCAGAAATGATGTCATTCTGCACCCATCAGTGGACATGGGCATTTATCTTTCATTGTTTCAGAACTCAGACTAGAGAAAAAGATGGTATTTTTAAAAATTCTCTCATGACCTATAATCTATAGGTCTATAATGTGTGCTTAAAGAAAACTGGTGGAATTAATGAAAACAGGTATCTGAATATCCTCTTTATATAAAAATAACCAAATTTCCAGGAGAAAATAAATAAAACAAGAAAGGGCCTAAATCTTTTTGCAAATTTCATTGATAAACACTCAAAGAAGTTTACAACCTGATCTGGGTGTGGTGGTGTATACCTTCAATCCCAGCATTCCAGAGACAGAGGCAGAGGCAGGCAGATCTCTGTGAGATGGAGGCCAGCCTGATCTATGTAGTGAGTTCGAGGCCAGCTGGGCCTATACCCTGCTCAAAAAAAAAAAATTAAAAAAAAAAGTTTAAGACATTATCTCAACAAATAACTATAGAATCATAACTTCCTTACCACCTTACCAGCATTCCTTGGTATCTCTCACCTGGCTTATTACAATAACAATCTACCAAGTCTCTGCTTCTTTCCCCACCCCAGTTCATTCTCCACACATAGTCCTGAATGACCCATTTAACATGTATGGTAGATCATGACAGGTTATATAGCTCTTCCCTCAAAACACTACAGCAACTCTCCTTCCACAGTCTTTGCAAAGTGTTCCCTGACTACCTGTTACTTTCCACCTCCTTCATTCTGTTCTGACCACCTGGCTATTCCTTGAACAGCCTCCAGGGAGGCTCTTACATCAGGATGACTCCATGGACCACCTGTGGCTCGAGTGCTGTCTCAGATATCTGCTTGGCTGACTCCCTTGACTCAAGTCTTTGCTCAAACTTCACCCATCAGCTCCATGAATCTTCTGGCCACTTGATTTCTTACTGTGCCTCTCCCTCCCCATTTCTCACCTCTAATTCCCTAAAGCACACACACTGCTCAAACATGCCTCAGCACACAGCAGGCACCATGCTGCTTACCATATGCCCTTATTTATATGTTTACTGAAGACCATATTTGCCTCTACCAAAATGTAAGCTCCACAAGGGCAGGGATCATTGCCTTGATCACTGAGATATTGTGAGCATTACTAGGCACATAGTTAAGGACTCAATTATTAAATAGAATGACAAAGGAATAGATTTATTTCATTGCTTAGAACAAAAACAAATTAGACTTTGGAATGATGTCCTTACTTCTCAAGTGATACACATATGCCATACCTCCATAAGGATGAGTCCTGTAGCTGGGACTTGGGGGAGAATAAAGTTGCAGCTGAGCTGTGATGATCCAAACCACTCGAAATATATACTCGGTGAATGGATGCAGGGGCTCTACCATGTACGAGAGCTTGGACACAGTCTAGATCCATGAGATATCAAAAATAAGCATTTGTCAAATAACCACAACCCAATATGACACAGAATGCAGATCTATTTGTGGAAGATGGCCTTTGGAGATGAGGCCACCAAGATCCTGGTGGATGTGCAACAGGCCAGGAGCTCAGACCCAAGCTGCATAAGTCTCTCCTTCAAGATGGCAAAGTTAAGGGTTTGGTCATTTGGCACTTACCTCAAAAATTTATTTGAATTTTCCCATATTTAGGCCAGGTATGGTGGCGCACGCCTTTAATTCCAGCACTCAGGATGCAGAGGCAGGCAGATGTCTGTGAGTTCAAGGCCAGCCTGGTCTACATAGTGAGTTCCAGGACAAGTAGGGCTGCAGGGAGACCCTGTCTCAAGAAGACCAAAATAAATAAATAAATTTCCCCACACTTGATGTCTTAGGGCTAATTTTTTTTCTGAACTTGATTTCATAAAAGGGGCAATCTTGAAAGACTACCACAAAACCACACTTACAAAATAGTGCAAATCCCTCTAAGAATCTCTCTCCTGCTCTCCCTCCTAGATGAAATCACTGTAGGGGGAGGGGCAGATAATTATCAATAAGATAAATTGTTCTATGATGCTGTGCTGAAGGAATTATATATGTGATACATATAATAAAATAATTCACAGAGTAGTAGAGATTAAAGTTTACCTAATCCAACAACTATGCTTAAATCTTTGCTAGAATGTATTAATGCCTATAAGTAGTCTCCTCCATCCACAAGGGATCTTCCCCAAACCCCCAATGGAAGCCCCAAACTCCAGATGTACCAAACTCTATATGAAAGTACCATAATACCATGACTGTCAATCTGATAACTTTAACAGAGATGACTATGTGTCTAACTCGTGGGTAGTATATATAACATGGATACACCGGACCAAGGGATGATTCACTTTGCAATGAGATGAAGCAGAATGACCTGAGATTTCATCCTGCTACTCGATATCATGCATATTAAAACTTACATTTCATTTTGTTGGTGGTGAAAACAGTGGTGGGTATTTGGTTGGTTGGTTTTGTTTTTGTTTTTGTTTTCAGACAGGGTTTCTCTTTGTAGTTCAGCCTAGCCTGGAACTTTCTCTGCTGCCCAGACTTGCCTTGAACACACAATCAATCCTCCTGCCTCAGCACCCCACCCCAAGTGCTGGGATTATAGGCCTGTGCTACCACAACTGACTTAAATTTTCTATTTTTTAAATTTTCCATTTAATATTTTTAGACTATAGTTGACCACAGGCAACTAACACTGTAAAACCAAAACCACAAATAATAAAGACAAAATACTTTAGATCTTTGAATAACTTAGGGAAGAGAAGTCTTCGTTTAGATAAGAAAGTAGCTTTGCATACCTCAGTGTATACCCAGCTTCCTTGAAGTTGTGAGTATTTCCACTGGATGATGTATTTTACTCCAGAGATGTTGGCAGGTTTCCACCGTAAGGTCACACTGTGGCTTCCAATGGAGGATGCAAAGGGTGCTGTAGGGAGTTCTGTGTTTTCTGGGGAGGAAACAGCATCTCTCACCATTCACTCCTGTCCATCAAAGCAGGAATGAGTGTGCCTGTTGCATCTAGGGCCCTTGCTTTCTCCTGATAATAAAATACCTGAGCAATGAATAGAATACAAGGTAGTCTTTCTTTTTTTATTATAATCAGGCAACACAGTGTTCTGACCAGTCTTTACTTAGGTAGCATTTCCTTACAGGCAAAGGATGATGAGGGTGCTAGGATCATGTCTATGACATAGTAGGAACATCCAGGGCATGTACCCTCAAGGCATTCTTCAAATATGATACTACAATTCTACTATTACTGCACATCCTGTCAATAAACTTTTTTGGTGTAGAAGATAGAATTTATTACAGAGTAAAGTACTCTTGGGGGTGAGAGTGGGCCTTGGCATCACCACACTCAGCTTTATTTGGTTCTGGGGATCAAACCCAGGGCTTCATGCATGCTAGGCAAGCATTCTACTAACTGAACTACATCCCCAGCCCCCCAAAATTATCTTTTTTTATTTTTTTACTTTTATTTTATGTGTATGAGTACTTTGCCTGCATGCATAAAAGTGTACCATGTATATGCAATGCCAGTGGAGACCAGAAGAGGGCACCTGATCCCACAGAACTATAATTAGGGAGAGTTGTTAATTGTCATGTGAGTGTTGGGAACCAAATCCAGGTCCTCCACAAGAGTAACCAGTATTCTTAACTGCTGAGCTATCTCTTCAATATTTTATTTTAAAATATTTTTGTTAATTTGAGAATTTCATACAATTTATTTTAAAGAAAACAAAGACAAATGATTTTTTTTGAAACAGGGTCTCATTATGTAGCCACAGCCAGCTGGATCTCACTAAGTAGACTAGGCTGGCTTCAAAGAGATCCTCCTGTTTCTGCCTCCTGAATGCTAGGATTAAAGGCATGTGACACTACCCCCAGCCAAATTTTCTTATTTGCACAAAGTTACTTATTTTATACCGAAGGACCCTACACTTCACTATTTTGCATCTCAGCACATTTCATAATTTTGAAACATTGGAGTCATTGAAATTTGTGGCACATACTACTGAGTGAAGGCTGTTTGGCAAGCACTGGAGTCAGGGCTGGATTCCTGCACGGTTATACTACTGAAATGAAGTCTCATTCTGGTTTATTCTGGTTTTTTTTTTCCTAAAATTGTAATGAATACTTCATCTTTCCTTATAGGAAAAAAAGTATTACTCTAATCCATAAAGAGTGGTAGATTTGTAAAGAGCTAAAAATAACTAAATGCAAAATTGCAGGACCTCACTCTCCTGGAAAGAAAATTGACAGAATTTTCATCACTACAACTAATGGATATGGACTAATTGAAGTTCATGCTTTATAATCCAGAAAACTTAAAGCCATTGTCATCTGAGGTCCCAAACACAGAGATCCACAACCCTTCTCTGCTGATTCTTCTATTTGTGGTTTGTTTGGGGGCTATTAGACCCATGTGAGCAAAGCTTGGCAGCTCCTTGCTCCCCTTTGGTAGTAAAACCATCAAGGATTGGCATAGGCTGAGACACCTGGAAGAGGTGTCTGACAATGGAGCTGGCGGTGGTGAAGAAGGATGCCAGGAGGCATCAGAAGTGACATATGCTGAAAACAGAGCAGAGGAGCCAGAGTTATATAAGCACAAGTAACCGTCAATTTCATAGCTAAGTATAGACCTCAGAAGTCTCAAAGCCACAGTGATACATATGGAAAATTATAGGTAAAGTAGGTTCATTCTAAAACATCACAGCAAGAGGGCATCAAATGAAGAGCCAAGCTGAACTGGGCTGCATACCAGTTTCACAACAGGACGGCATGGGTAAGGAAAGGCTCTGCAATCAGACAGCGGTAAGTAATTCCAGCTGTATCTCTTAGCATCTCTGTGGCCCTGAGCAAGTATTGACACTCTGCCTTAATTTTTTCATCTGCCAAATGAGGTTAATTGCAGTATTTACTGCCTCTAAAGACAAAAGACTAACATCTCTAAATTAATGAGAACAGTGCCTGAGTCATAAATGCTTAATAAAAATAACTACTACTGGGATCGAGGAGATGGCTCTGTGGCTAAAAGCGCTCCTCATGCAGCAACCTAAGTTGCAACCTAAGTTCAGATCCCTAGAACGCAAGTTAAAAAGCTGGACGAAGTGGCATGTGTCTGTAATCCCAGCACTCTTAGTGAGATGGGAAGTTTGCGGGCCACCTGGCCTGGAGCACATAACACAGTGACAAAACAACAAAATAAACCGTACCTCAAACTAGGTGGAAGGTCAGGATCAACTCCCAAGCTTGTCCTCTGACCTCTAAACATGCATACATGTTGCACACACATATCATACACACACAAAATTTAGCTATTATTTTATACATTGTAAGCAACTGTCACTTCCTACCACATAGAAATAGACACAGAGCATCTAAAATCAAGTAAGACAGCAGACCTGCAAATAAATGAATGAGGTAATGTGTTAGGGACAGTCTCGGGTATATGGGCAATAAGCACGAACGCCTTTATCTAACTTGGTTCACCTCATTTGTTGTACAACATCTGAAACGATGAGAATTATTACTTTTGAGACAGGATCTCACTGCTAGGAAGACTATTAATAAATATAACAAATTTTAAGTAGCATATAAATTGAAAGACAAAATTATATATTTATTTCAGTTTTAAATAAAGATTACTGTATATTAATAGTGACCATGTGTTCCTTGAACTCTTGACAACTTCTTAAATTTTGTAATCTGATTGTTACCATTACTCATTTCCTGTCCCTTGTTGAGTTTTTATGGAAGTTGTTTGTTACATCAGACATCACCAAAAATCCCAGTTTTACAGACTATGACATCATGGAAAAGAATGTAGTGGGGCCTATTTTTATGCCATGTGCTGCCCCCAAGCAGCAGATCCCACAGTATCCAACAAATGTCTCCTATGTGGAACTTGTTTCCCTGTTTCCTGGTGACTGAAAATACCCCATAGTTCCCCTTGAGGGCACTGTGACTTCTGTGATGCCTTGGGGCACTCCTAAGCATCATTTGGAAACCACAAAATATAAATTTTACCCATAAGCAACACCCTCCTCTCAATTTCCATCAGCCACTGGGAGTAAGGAGGAAGCCCCTGGAAGAGCCAGGCAACTCCCAGCCTGGAAGGATCCCTTGGTGGTAGTGGGAGACCTTAGGAAATTGATCATGAGACAGCCGATAACATCCAAGCTATAACTTAGCAAAGTACTGGCCCTTCAGATACCACTGCCGAATAAGTACACTAGGAAAAAGTCACTTAGACACATCCAGCCTATTTGAATTAGGCAGAGGGAGTTGCTATACTTAATCATGAGTTCCCCCACTTAATCAAAATCCAAGACTGAGAGGCATATCTTCCATACACTCAAATTTCCAGCGCCTTTTTTGAGGTATCATGCACATAGTAACTTCTTCGTTAAGTAAATATTAGCCGAATAACATAGTTCACCTTAAATAAAATATCTCAATACTTTCAGCTTATCAAAACAGCAGCCTTCCTTAATGTCAGTTTTGCTCAGAGTATAGTGCTCCCTAAATAGGATAAAAGGGATTAGGTTGGGGGTATAGCCCTTTAGGAGAGTGCTCACCTAGGATGCAGGAAGCTCTGGGGTTTGATGCCTACCACTACATAGAACTGAGTGCATTAGTGCATACCAGTAATCCCAGCACTCAGGAAGTGGAAGCAGGAGGACCAGGAGTTCGAGGTCATCCTTGGCTACATAGCAAGCTCAAGGCCACTTAGGCTTCATAAGATCCTGTCTCAAAAAAAAAAAAAAATACACCCTTTTGCCCTTCAAGCAAAAATCCAGCCCAAAAATCAAATAATGTCAAATTTTCTTATTTTTTTCTAACAAGAGC